GGTATCTCATATACGCTAGACACATTTATGAAAAAAAATAACTTCTGCCATTACTCTAGCTAGGATGACACTTAATCGTACTGGTGCTCATCCTATTATACCAATAAAATAAAAACCAGCAGGATCTTATTTATTTATGCCACATTTATTGTGAATACAGAAAGAATCATAGTAAGCAGTTAGTTATAGCTATAACATTCCATTCAATCTCATATTTATTCATACATTCACACACACACACACACTGCAAGGTAGTTATCATAGTTACCAGCCTTAGAGTTGCTCACGCCAAGCCACTGGCCAGGTGGCCTGGACATGAGGAGGGAGCAGGGCCTTGTCAGATGCACATCTGATGCTCCTGGAAGTTGGGTTGCAGAATCAGACCCCAAAGTTCTCACTTTCTAGAGTCCATTTTTATAGGAGTTTCTTCTTATGCCAGTCTATGGGAATTGCTTCATCATGCTGTTGCTGAATCAATCAGCAGATAGCACATTCCTGATGGCTCCGTGCTGCTAGATGTTATTTTGTTCTTTGATTCTCCCATTCTTGAGGCTGTTGGGTGGATTCCAGTCTGCCCTCCGGGGGTCCTCTGGTTATTTCCACTTGACGCCTTCTTCAGCTGATGGACGCTTGATTCTTAGGCTGGCACCTCCCTGATCATCCAGTTATTATCCACACCAAGCATCCATCCACATACATCCTCTATCTCTATTTTAATCACAATTGTTAATACAACAAAAGGGCGGGGAGTCTCTGGGTGCTGTTTCTGTTGTTACAGAGTATTGCTTTGAGTCTCTCTCTGTGTGAATTGCTTTGAGAACAGACTCTGTCTTAGAATATACTAACGCAATTTTGCAGCTTGCAAGTTTCACACATAGAGGGAGAGAAACAGTACCAAAAACCAGGAGACCTCTTAATTAGTAATACCCTGGAATTTAAACTATGGGGAATCAAACTCATATGTGATTTTAATACAGAACTTCTTTAATATGATCCAACAATCCTGTTTTATGGTAGCATTGATCAACTGGGATCAGGAAAATATCTCCCCTCTCCCACTTAATCTATCACAGTATAGAGTAAGTGCATTATGGAGAGTTTATTGCACCTTCCTCTGAAGTAGCATATGTTAATTATTGCCTGAGAAGGGATACTGGACTTCACTGGGCCATTGGCTTGTTCTGGTGTGGCAATTCCTATGATTAACGCTAAGCTATAGGAAGGCCAGCCAGGCATTCTCCCTGTGGGTGTAACGGGGTATCTAAATTCAGTTCCCTCACTCCCATGCCAGTAAAGGGGTGGGAGCACTGGGAAGGCTGTTAGCTTCCTGGGTGATCTCTCATGGTTAGATAACTGGTTTGCATCTGTTGACTCTCCACTGAGAGAGAAATACTGATCCCTGTTGCTGCCCTCTTCTGGACAATCATGGAAAGGAAACCTATAATTGGTATGACACACACAGGGACTTTGGAACTTTCCCTTCTTTCCTGAGATCCCTCACCCTGACATTTAGAGGGAACTCATATCTACTGAAAGGCAGGCAGCCCCTCGTAGTACCTTGGATAGCTTACCGAGTCTCCAGAGGTTAAAAGAGAAAAGTGCTGAGAGCCTGGCACTCAAGGGGTGTTAAAACTGAATAGCCAGTAAGTGTTTCTTGCTTAATCGTAGACACATTCTCTTTGTTGCTGACTTCCCTCCTCGTCTTGGGTTTCTGAGAAATAGAAACTTTCACTTCTGTGTCTTTATCTAACAGCATGTTTGTTGAGGAAATTGAGCAAAGGATAATTTCTGCTGAATGTAAGCCAGTATTTCCTAACAGTGAGATTTAGTGGATTGTGGAATAGTCTCCTATATCACTTGGGTTATTTGAAACTGGACTGGAAAAATCTTGGGGAGATTGCAGACAGCTGCAGTGGCACAGGAGCCAGCAAACAGAGCTGTAAACGGGGGAGTTTGAGTGGGAGTTTGGAAGGGGAGTTTGTCTTGTGGTGCTTGTTTGGGGTTTGTGTTTGCTGTGGGGGGTGGTGTTTTGGTGTGGTTTGTGTTTCCCAGATTAACAGGATTTAGGTGGGAAGGCTATGACAGATACAGAGGCAGCAGTGGGAGTGACTCATATAGTGGAAGACACAATGAAGATGACTGGATGTGGAAGCTGTTGTATGTACATGATCCTGGAGGGGGTACCTGGTAAGAGTTTTGTCTGCATGAAATGCCGTCTGATAGAGCTGATGGAGGAAAAGATCCGAGGTTTGGAGATGCAGGTGGAAAGTCCGGTTAAGTTTAGGAAGGGGTTTGAGCAGATCATGGAGCAAAGACATGAGGTATCTGAAGGGGAAAGCTCAGACTTGCAGATGGAAGCAGGACTGAGGAGAGGGGAGACTGGGTGAGGAAAGTGGTCAGTGGAAGCATGTGACTAAAAGAACCAGGCAGAGGAAACGACAGGCTAGTGAAGGAGAAATAGAGCTCAAGAACAGGTTTGCAGAGTTGGAAAATGAAGAAGGGGCTCAGCAGGTAGTCACTGAAGGTGGAAGGGCAAGGAAGAAGAGAAGAGCGGCTAGTCCTATAGGAAAAGGGGAAGAGTCAATGGAGACTACACCAAATATGAGCCCCAGAGGATACAGGATTGGTTGAAGAGGATTACAAGGGAGAATAGGAATGGAAAGAACTTGCAGCCAGAGGGAACGGGATAGACTGGAGAATAGCACGTCACCAGGAAAAGGCAGGTCTTTGTGATCGGGGACTCTTTACTGAGAAGAATAGACAGGCCTGTAACCAGAGCTGATCCAGAGAATAGAAGGGTATGCTGTCTTCCAGGTGCTAAGGTATGGGATGTAGACCTGAGGTTGAAAAGGATCCTAAAGGGAGCAGGAAAGAATCCCCTAATTATCCTTCATGTGGGAACAAATGATACGGCTAGATTCTCGCTGGAAAGTATTAATAAAGGGAGACTATGCTAGGCTGGGGAAGATGCTTAAGGAAATCGAGGCTCAGATAATCTTTAGTGGGATTCTGCCTGTTCCTAGAGAAGGACAACAAAGGTGTGACAAGATTATGACTATCAACAGATGGCTTAGGCAGTGGTGCTATAAGGAGGGCTTTGGGATGTATGGCCACTGGGAGGCATTCATGGACAGAGGACAGTTCTCTCGGGATGGACTTCATCTGAGTAGGGAAGGAAATAGACTTCTAGGACGGAGGCTGGCACAATTGATTAAGAGAGCTTTAAACTAGGAATTTGGGGGAGATGGTTGGGAGATGTCCAGGTAATCTCCATGCCAGATTTTAGCATTGAGAGGGAAGAAAACGAAGTAAGAAAGGATACAGCCGTGAGTAGGAGAATGTATATAAGGAGGAAGGGCAGTGTGGATACCAGTCTAATAGGTTATACTGGCTGTAGAATGACCGTGCCTAATAGGGTACAGAATGTGAGCGAGGCCAAACAGCACAAATTAAGATGTTTGTACACCAATGCAAGAAGCCTAGGTAATAAAATGGAGGAACTAGAGCTACTGGTGTAGGAAGTGAAACCAGATATTATAGGGATAACAGAAACATGGTGGAATAGTAGTCATGACTGGACTACAGGTATTGAAGGGTATGTGCTGTTTAGGAAAGACCGAAGTAAAGGTGGTGGAGTAGCATTGTATATCAATGATGAGGTAGAATGTAAAGAAATAAGAAGTGATGGAATGGATAAGACAGTCCGTCTGGGCTAAAATTACATTGGGGCCAGGTGGAGAAGGGACCTCTGGTGAGTGTAACTTTTAAAATACTATACATGGTTTAAAAGCAAGCATATTTAATGATTAATTTGCCCTGGCATTTGCGGCTCTCCTGGATGTACTCCCAAAGCCTTTGCAAAAGGTTTCTGGGGAGGGCAGCCTTATTCCACTCACCATGGTAGGACACTTTACTACACCAGGCCAGTAGCACGTACTCGGGAATCATTGTAAAGCAAAGCATTGCAGTGTATGTTTGCTGGCATTCAAACAACATCCGTTCTTTATCTCTCTGTGTTATCCTCAGGAGAGTGATATCATTCATGGTCACCTGGTTGAAATAGGGTGCTTTTCTTAAGGGGACATTCAGAAGTGCCCATTCCTGCTGGGCTGTTTGCCTGTGGCTGAACAGAAATGTTCCCCGCTGTTAGCCATGGGGGTGGGGGGGGTGAGGGGCTAGCCACGTGGGGGGGAGGCAAAATGCGACCTTGGAACGAAAGCACATGTGCTGTGTATGTAATGTTAACAGCAAGGTTTACCGTGAAAGAGTATAGCCATTGTTCTAGAAAATGTGTCTTTTTAAATACCACTGCCTCTTTTTTTTCCTCCATCAGCTGCATGTGTTTCAAGGATCACAGAATCTTCTCCTTCCCAGAGGCTAATGAAGATTAGAAGGCAAAAAAAACGCACTCGTGATGAAATGTTCTCTGAGCTCATGCTGTCCTCCCACACTGACATAGCACAGACAAATGCGTGGAGGCAGACAATGTCAGAGTGCAGGAAAGCACAATACGACCGGGAGGAGAGATGGCGGGCTGAAGAGAGGGCTGAAGCTGAAAGGTGGCAGCAGCGTGATGAGAGGAGGCAGGATTCAATGCTGAGGCTGCTGGAGGATCAAACCAATATGCTCCAGCGTATGGTTGAGCTGCAGGAAAGGCAGCAGGAGCACAAATCGCCGCTACAGCCCCTGTGTAACCAACCGCCCTCCTCCCCAAGTTCCATAGCTTCCTCACCCAGACGCCCAAGAATGCGGTGGGGGGGCCTCCGGCCACCCGGCTACTCCATTCCAGAGGATTTCCCAAGCAACAGAAGGCTGGCATTCAATAAGTTTTAAACTTTTAAAGTGCTGTGTGGCCTTTTCCTTCCCTCCTCCACCACCCCTCCTGGTGCTTCTCTCCTCCACCACCCCTCCTGGGCTACCTTGGTAGTTATCCCCCTATTTGTGTGATGAATGAGTAAAGAATGCATGAATGTGAAGCAACAATGACTTTATTGCCTCTGCAAGCGGTGATCAAAGGGAGGAGGGGAGGGTGGTTAGCTTACAGGGAAGTAGAGTGAACCAAGGGGCGGTGGGTTTCATCAAGGAGAAACAAACAGAACTTTCATACCGTAGCCTAGTCCAGTCATGAAACTGGTTTTCAAAGCTTCTCTGATGCATACCGCACCCTCCTGTGCTCTTCTAACCGCCCTGGTGTCTGGCTGCGCGTAACCAGCAGCCAGGCGATTTGCCTCAACCTCCCACCCTGCCATAAACGTCTCCCCCTTACTCTCACAGATATTGTGGAGCACACAGCAAGCAGTAATAACAGTGGGAATATTGGTTTCGCTGAGGTCTAAGCGAGTCAGTAAAATTCGCCAGCACGCCTTTAAATGTCCAAATGCACATTCTACCACCATTCTGCACTTGCTCAGCCTGTAGTTGAACAGCTCCTGACTACTGTCCAGGCTGCCTGTGTACGGCTTCATGAGCCGTGGCATTAAGGGGTAGGCTGGGTCCCCAAGGATACATATAGGCATTTCAACATCCCCAACAGTTATTTTCTGGTCTGGGAATAAAGTCCCTTCCTGCAGCTTTTGAAACAGACCAGAGTTCCTGAAGATACGAGCGTCATGTACCTTTCCCGGCCATCCCACGTTTATGTTGGTGAAACGTCCCTTGTGATCCACCAGAGCTTGCAGCACTATTGAAAAGTACCCCTTGCGGTTTATGTACTCGGCAGCTTGGTGCTCCGGTGCCAAGATAGGGATATGGGTTCCGTCTATGGCCCCACCACAGTTAGGCAATCCCATTACAGCAAAGCCATCCACTATGACCTGCACATTTCCCAGGGTCATTACCCTTGATATCAGCAGATCTTTGATTGTGTGGGCTACTTGCATCACAGCAGCCCCCACAGTAAATTTGCCCACTCCAAATTGATTCCCGACTGACCGGTAGCTGTCTGGCGTTACAAGCTTCCACAGGGCTATTGCTACTTGCTTCTCAACTGTGAGGGCTGCTCTTATCTTGGTATTCTTGCGCCTCAGGGCAGGGGAAAGCAAGTCACAAAGTTCCATGAAAGTGCCCTTACGCATGCGAAAGTTTCTCAACCATTGGGAATCGTCCCAGACCCACAACACTATGCGGTCCCACCAGTCTGTGCTTGTTTCCCCAGCCCAGAATCGGCGTTCCACCACATGAACCTGCCCCATTAGCACCATGATGCCCACATTGCCAGGGCCCATGCTTTGAGAGAAGTCTGTGTCCATGTCCTCATCACTCATGTCACCGCGCTGATGTCGCCTACTCACCCGGTATCGCTTTTCCAGGTTCTGGTGCTGCATATACTGCTGGATAATGCGTGTGGTGTTTAATGTGCTCCTAATTGCCAAAGTGATCTGAGCATGCCCCATGCTTGCTGTGGTATGGCGTCTGCACAGAAAAAAGGCGCGGAACGATTGTCTGCCATTGCCCTGACAGAGGGAGGGGCGACTGACGACATGGCTTACAGGGTTGGCTTACAGGGAATTAAAATCAACAAAGGGGGTAGCTTTGTGAGAAACTGAATGGCCCCCTCAAGGATAGAACTCAAAACCTCAAGGATAGAACTCAAAACTGGGTTTAGCAGGCTGCTGATTTCACAGAGGGAAGGAGGAGAAAATCAATATAAAACAAATCTGGTCTATTTCTTGTTTTGAGCCACTTCATCTATCTTTATACATCTTGCTGGCAGCAGACTGTGCAGTACGACTGCTAGCCATCATCATCTCCTGGGTGCTTGGCAGAAGACAGTGCAGTATGACGACTAGCCATCATCTTCTGCTGGCTGGAGGTTAAAAGACAGCGCACTGCCAGTAGGACTGAATCGCCACGAGACGAAACAAGGGAAATGACCTGGCTGAGTCACTCCCATGTTTGCCTAGGTGCCCAATTAAAAGAGCACCCAGGACTACGTCGATGACGGCTACCAGTCATACTGCACTGTCTGCTGCCAAAAGGCAATTAACTGCTGCTGTGTAGCAATGCAGTACCACGTCTGCCAGCACCCAGGAGACATATGGTGACGGTGAGCTGAGCGGGCTCCAGGCTTGCCATGGTATGGTGTCTGCACAGGTAACTCAAGAAAAAAGGCGCAAAATGATTGTCTGCCCTTGCTTTCACGGAGGGAGGGAGGGAACGGGGGCTTGACGATATGTACCCAGAACCACCCATGACAATGTTTTAGACCCATCAGGCACTGGGATTTCTACCCAGAATTCAAATGGGCGGCGGAGACTGAGGGAACTGTGGGATAGCCACCCATGGTGCAATGCTCCGGAAGTCGACGGTTGCCTCGGTACTGTGGACACACTCCGCCAACTACATGACTTAGAGCATTTGTGTGGGGACGCACACAATCAACTGTATAAAACCGCTTTCTACAAAACCAACTTCTATAAATTCAACCTAATTTCATAGTGTAGACATACCCTAAATGACTTGTCCGAGGTCAAATGGCAAATCAGTGGCAGAGTTGGAGTTAGAATTCGAGAGTACCTAGCTTCCAGTCCTGTGATCAGATTGGACTTCCTTCATTGTAAGAGAACAACATACAGATCAGTAGAGGCAGGGGAACTGTTGTGCTTTGCAAGGGTGTAAATACAAATTCCTTTCTTAAAGAATAAAAAAGGGGAGATTATGTGACACCCATTGACTCTGCCTTGTCTCTCCAGTGACACAAAACAAACACAAAAGCTGGCATACCTGGCCAGTGGAAGATCGCTTTATACAGGGGTTTATATGCCACCCCCTATCTAGCCCCCAGGGTAGGGGGCATGGCAAACAAAAGGAGCTATGAGCAGGGTACTGCTGCAGCTTGCTGATCCCAGGCTCCCAGAATGGCCCTTGCATTGGCTCCTGTCAACCAGCATAAGAGACAATCCAATTGTCCAGAGTCCTGCAGCAAAACCTTTTGTTGTAGACACAATTTTGAATGTAAAAACCATCAACATTTTTTCTTTAAAAAAAAAAAATCTTTCAAACCTTTATACGCGGTAAGGCAACCAAAAAAGGTGACAATTTATCTGTTTGAATGCTACTTTTCATATGCCAGGGGCAGCTAGTAAAATTAAAGTGATCACTCTAGGGCAGGGGACAGAAATCCAATGTAAAATATCCCAAGAGCTAATTCTAATACAGTGTATCAACCTAGGTCACAGTTTGTATTTTGACATGGTAATTTTCACTTCTGAGAGTGTAGAAATGTACAATACAGGACCTCAATAATAGTTAATTAGGCCCTGATTCTGCAATGGATCTGTGTAGGCAGATCCTTCTGTCCATGCAAAACCCTATTAAAGTAAACTGGTGTAGGGGGTCTTCTCACACAGATCAGACAACAGGATCAGAGCCTTAGATTGTAACCAACTCTTTCTTAGTAACCAGATTAGTTAGAGCCAGACTGCTTGGCCTGTGCACAGAGGAGCCTGAGACAGCTGAGAGTCCCTGTACTCCCCTAAACAGAGACTGCTAGTGCCCCAAAGTGGGTTTGCAGCAGCATTATTATTCAGAGCTGTGTGGTACAATCTGCACATGAATATCTATTCAATTAATGATGCCAATTTGCTTAAATGATGTAGTTAAATTATCACCACACTCTCACAATTTCATATCTAAACGCCCCAAAATTCGTAACGTTTTGTAATTGTCCATGTACGATGGTTCAGAGGTTTTTTTTGTCTTTCAACCTGTCTAAATACTTAAGATATTTAATTCAAGATAATACTTAGTCCTGCCAGGAGTGCAGGGGACTGGTCTAGATGACACCTCGAGATCCCTTCCAGTCCTACAATTCTATGATTTCTTTAACATAATTTCACTGTTGCAAAATATTACGTGTTTACACTTTCTCTGATTTTTAAAAAAAAATAAAATCATATATTTGAATATTTGTCATAATACAGTAAAATCACAGCAAGCAGAATTAACTTCAGTCTTTAGAAAATGATGTCTGACAAGATGATAGCATAAGAAAATACAGCTGCAGGAAAAATACTGGACTAGAGAGACCATTGGCCTGGTCTGGCAGCAAACAGGATACCAGGCTAGATGGCGATAAATCTGATCTAGTGGGATATAGATAATTATACTGGACTACATGGACCACTGTGTTCAGATCCAGTAGTGTAGCATGCAGGATGCTGGACTAGATATTGCACCATTGGTCTAATCTAGCATGAGAGGGGGCGGAATACTGAACTAGACAAATTGTGTTGGTCCAGTCAGGAATGGCAGGTAGCAGAATATCAGACTAAATGGGTGACTAGTCTGGGAAGAGGCAGGATTATCAGACTAGACAGACTATTGGTTTGTTCCAGTGTGGCAGGAAGTGAGTTACTGGACTATATGGTCCACTTGGCTATTCCATTGTGACAGCTCATATATTCTCCTAATTGAGCCCTATAGTCCCTTGAATCATCCATATCTGATGCTCTTCTTACGTGTCCTTGAATTGTGGAATCTTTACGCGGTTAAAAAATCTATCATAACCGTCCGACTTTCACCAGACGTAACATCAGTACCTGTGGCTTTAAATTCCGTTAGCCCAAATTTAATATCCAGTCTCAGTTGGCGGTTTTTCCCCAGCTCTGTGTTTGGTGTTGGCACAGTACAGGAGCCGAGCATCTTCAGCCCTTCCTCATCTATGTATTTTGCATCATCCTTTTCTGTGCAATAGAAACTAAAAATCACACTTGTCTGATCTGGTTCTGTGGGAGTGAAAGTATAACTGGCAACCTCATCTACCTCAACCAAATCCCCAATTCCCACCAACTTCTTGAAGAGATCTGTGCAATATACATAATTATCAGCTTTTGAGACTCTCTTTTTCTGTACATCATGGACAGCAATATCAAATGCCTCAGATATCTTTACTCCATATGTCAGAGCGCTGATTCTCGAGGCAACAATTTGTGGATTGTGCCCAAATAAAATGGCTCCCTTTATAATAGCTGCCTGAGATTCCTGTGGACACAGGATACGGTACTTCCTAAAGGTCTGATAGATCTCGTCCCTCAGGATAATGCTGGAAGCAAAGCCCCCAACCAGTAAAATATATTGGACTTTGGCCATCTCAGGCTTGTTGAGGATTTCCTGCAAGGCACCAATGGTTTGTCTGACACTGTAGGCAAAAAAGCTCTTCATTTTCTCATATGTAATCATGATAGTCCCATCGCACCACAGAACTCCCTTTATACCGTCAAAGAAGAGGGAGATGTCCTTTTTCTTGTGTTCTGCCACTTTTGTTAGGTTGTGGTAGCAACGCATGTAGACCTCTTCTCTGTTGGAAGAGCATTTCTGAAGGCCAAAGTCGTACATCATTTTATGGCATTCTGCTGGGTGATTCTGTGCATATTCCTCCCATACTCCATCTTGGAAGATCTCCTTCAGGAACTCTTTGAACTTTTCATCCACTGTATCGCCTCCCCATCCTCCTCCTGATGCCTTATGTAATTCTTTCAGGGATTGGTTCTCTTGGATTTCATGTACTGTGATGTCTATGGTACCACCTAAGCCCCCAAAATGAGTAAAATTAGTTAATTTTTAAAAAGAAGTTATTGCCCTCACTTTAGCTGAATAAAAGGCTGCTTTCTAAAGAGAGTCCTTATCTTTACAAAAGTAAAAAAAAAATCTCACAATTGGCAAATGTGCTCTGCAAATTGGGATAGAGAGCTGCCCGTTCTTTAGCTTATAATCTTTCCTTGCCCACGGATTCTTAGACTTTGTCTACACTACCACTTTTGTCTGTCGGGGTGTGAAAAAACTCTCCCTCCGACTGACATAAGTTTCACTAGCAAAAGTGCTGGCGGGGACAGCGCTCTGTTGGCAGGAGAGGCTCTTCTGCCCGCATAGCTAACGCTGCTCTTTGGGGGTGGTTTAATTATGCTGGCAGGAGAGCTCTCTCCTGCTGACAAAGAGTGGCTCCACAGAAGACCTTAGAGCAGCACAGTTGTGGCGGCACAGCTGTACCGCCACAAGGTCCCTAGTGTAGACACAGCCTTAATTTCTGCATGCTGTGCAGCAGTGGTTCTCAGCCTTTCCACACTACTGTACCCCTTTCAAGAGTCAGATTTGTCTTGCATACCCCAAGTTTCTTCTCACTTAAAAATGACTTGCTTACAAAATCAGACACACAAATACAGAAGTGTCACAGCCACACTGTTACTGAAAAATTGCTTCCTTTCTCATTTTGTCTGTACGAAATTTTAGTTTGTACTGACTTTGCTATTGCTTTTGATGTAGCCTGTTGTAAAACTAGGCAAATGTCTAGATGAGTTGATACAATACCAAGCACACTGTTGGTGTCCAATAAATAGTTTACTCAAACCCAGCCCAAAGTTGGTAATAGCTGTGAGATATTACTATCTGCTGGAAGTTCAGTGGCCTGTAGGAAATGAGTTGGTAGGTCTCAGTCTAGTACCCAATGGCCAAGTCCCTTCTGAGTAGTCTGCTGAGATGTCAGAACTGAATGTGTGTGAAAACTGACATCTTGTGATACCCACACTCTCTGGCCGAGTTGGGGCACAATGCTGAGCATAGGGTGTCTGTAGGAAGCTTCCACTGCTGCTGCCCATCCTGAATTTGTTCTGCGAGAAACACAGACTTCTGTCTCCCAGGGATGTCAGTCTGTCCTCAGCACTAAGTTCACATGTTACGCCAAAACAATAGCAAGAAACTAAAGAAGCTGTGTGGCAGCACTCTTGCTTCTACAGCAGGAGGTTATGGATTCAAGCTACACAACAGGAAATGGGTGTGTACCTATTGCTGACGTAGCAGGACAGTGTACAGTGGAGTGGAGTGGCTCTGATGACAGCAACTTGCACTGCTAGGATCTGATCAAAGTCAATTGAAGACAACAGAATCCTATTGACTTCAATGGGGTTTGGATCAGGCCCTTAAAGGGGCTCTCCTTTCATTCCTCTTTCTGCAGTGGCATGCCAACTAAAAATCCTGTCCAGCTGCTCTTAAAATGGACAGGTCAAATGGGCAGTGCCAGACTTTCTTCTGTCGTCCCCGGTTCCTCAGTACATTTTTTTAGTCATTTGCTTTTTGTACAGCACTGCCAGGCATGCAGTTGTGACCCTTTTCAGTCATCTGCTTTGAGATCTCCTTGGACAATTTCTTATGAGATAGCTGGCCACAAGAGCTGCCTGCACCATCACTTCTCCCCAGATGATGACGAGATCAAGGATCTCACCATGGCTGCTTGAAGCATGTTGTAAGGCTGCTGGACTAATATTGCAGCAAAGCTGATATATTTGGATCCAGGAGCAAATGGGCTGATCCTGGCTCTGCATCAGTTTTTAAACAGTGGAGGGGACATCTCGTCAACTTGACCACAGAGCTGTGGACTGAACTAACTCAATTTGCATCGAACTTAGTACACTTTGAAAGAGGACTCCAGAATGTGCTGTAAGTAGGGAGTTAGTGCGCTGTAGGGGTTTGCATCGTGTACCAAGGTTTTTTAACCCACACTAACTCAACTTAGTACAGACTAACCCCTTCCCCCATCATGTAGACAAGCCGTCAGGTGCGTGCTCTTTCAGGTAGAAATTAAAGAACCCAGAGCAAGCACAGCCTGGGGGATCCGAGTTCAGTATGGAGCTCAGTCCCTTGCTCTGTATGCCAGAAGGGTCTGCAGCTGCTGAATAGACAAACTCTGAACGTAGCAGAGATTATACCTATTTAAGGGGGAAAGTTACCTCCACAGTCAACGACAACATACTGGGTCCCAGGTGACTCTTCAAACTTTTGTCTATCACCACCTTCTGCCACAAACCCTTCTTGTGGGAGCTGCTTGCACCAGACTGAGGCGGCCTCTGGTTCTAAGGCGATGATGAGCTTCTCAGAAAACATATCACTGATGAGTCCTGCCTAAAATCAGAAGAGAAAGTGATCGTAACAGGAGTGGTGACGGGATCCTGGCTTCCCATCTCTGGGATGCACCATGAGCACAGTATGTTGGCCAGGTTCTTTTAATCTTGGGAATGTTGGTGTCAAGGCTGAATCCCAACTCTGTCACTTTGAGTGCAGAAGGTGGGGGCCTGCAAGGATTTTAAAAATTAAGCACTGGCCACTCCAGGCTTGTATTACACTCCCAAGGTTACAGCTTTTCTCTGACCTTGGCTTGGTAAACGTTGCCACCACCCAAATGCAAAAAAACCCCACCCCTTTGAACCCAGGAAGGAGCACTTGGAAATTCCTCCCTGTGGGGTACCCTCAAGCCCTTTCACCCCTGCTCCGGGGGAGAGCTGAGAAGAAAACAAAGGAAATTAGCTGTGGCTACCAGCTAATCAAACAACATGCACAAACCTCTTAGGACACCAAAAATCCAAACTTGTTCTTTAAAAAGGTAATTTTTATTAAAAACAAAAAGGAAAAATTACATCTGGAACTTCGGCTTTTTGCTAGATCTTAAAAGAAACAATTCCAAAAATTAAGCACCCAAACTAGCTTTTTTGGGGGTTCAGCTTAAAGGTTACAAGCAAACAAAAGCATCAGAGGTTAGCACAAAGGAGATCCACAAGCCAAAATGAGAAATAAACCTGATTGTGTGTAACTAAACATTCCCTATCCTAATTTCTTCTGGGTATGGAAGATACTTTTTCATACCTGGTTCAAACCTTACACAGCATTCCTGCTTATAGCATTGCCTGCTTATAGCATTGCTGCTCCGTGTCCCTCCAGCCCAGAGAACAACAGACAAAGGGAAAGTTTCTTTCCCAATTTTAAAAAGTTCTACCTTCCCATTGGCTCTTTTGGTCAGGTGCCCACTCCTTTCCTTTTACATGTGGGCTTGTTAACTCTTTACAGGTAACACAAGCAGAGAACAGACCAAGAGGAATTTTACAACTAGCTGGCTGGCTGGGTGCCCATCAAAGGGAGCTACTCTCTCCCCCCCTCCCCCCAACATGTATCACAGTTGGGATGGCCTATCAGGAATAATGGTCTGTCTGTTCCATCTAGTCTGTTTTCAGCTCTGACTAGAGCCAGATGAGTCAGAGGAAGGTGAAACCCCCACCCTGCGCTCATGGACAATTTATGTGCAATACTGTAACTGTGTGTGTGATGGGAGGGGAATTTCTACCTGATTCCAGCCAGCATTAGTGTATGCCATGACTTATGAAGATCCATAGTCCCTGTAATTTCTGTTCCAACTACTCTCACTGCAGATGCTATTCTCATTCAGAGAAGCCTCTCAGCCAGTAGTTAATTTTGTCACTTCTTGTAGTAATGTGTAGCAAGCAAAACAATGGTCCTCAACCTTTTCTGTACTGTAACACTTCTCCAGTCTAGGCAAGATCTAGTCAGGATCCTCCTCTAATTTAGCGGTATAGAAAGGGCAGAGCAGCTGTGACCCCAGGTTGAGAACACTGGATATAGAAAAAAAAAAATCTTCAACCCCAACCCACTCCATGGTAGAGCAAGTGTTAAAATAAGGTTTTTTTTTTGTTAAAATAAGGTTTGTTTAAATGTTGAACAATCCTTCTGCATTGTTGTGCAGTGAAAATTCTAGAGAGAATCTCAGAGGCAATCAAGCTATTACTCACTTTACCTCTTTAGCAGCCAGTCGCATGAACTGCCTGGCAGAAGCATCCCATATGGCTGGAACAGTAATGACCCAGGTGACATCCTCAGTGACATAGACAGTTTGGTATGAGGCCTCCCGTATAGTGTTCAGAGCATGGTCCTTCATGTACCGCAGACTTTCTGAGAATACTTTTAGGGCTGGAAACTTCTCTCCATTATCTGTTTCCAGTTCCATGTTAGAAGTGATTTTCTAGAAGTGAGAAAAAACAATTAATTATTTTTATTGTGGTAGCATAACCCACTGCTGGGTTTGTTACAGGTTCCCCTTCCTGCTGCCAGCTCACTGAGAATTGAACTGGGGACCTCCAGAGCCAAAGCACAAGAACAGCTTCTCTGTAACTGGGGTCGATAACCACTCAGCTTCTGGGGATTGGTGCAGAGGAGGACCTGTAACACACTCATCAGTGGGGTACAGTAGCGCCCTAGGAGCCATAGTCATGGACCAGGGTTCCTTTGTGCTTGGTACTGTGCAAACAGAACAAAATGATGGTCCCTGCTCACCCCCCCCCCAAGATGCAGTAATCTAAGTAAGCAGGCAGAAGAACTCTGGAGCATAGATCACTGCACTCTAGGTCTAGGAGGTGCAGAGGCTCAAAAAGCCTATGACTGCCAGCTGCCTCAAATCTGTGAATGACTTTGTAAGTCAAATATTAACGTGGCTATTAGAGCAAACTGTTTCCCCTGAGTCAAACTGCGATGCTGGCAGACCAGTTGCCAGCTCATACCAAGGTCCACATGTCTCAACTGAACGCTGACAGACACACAGCTGAATCACTGGCTCACCGGTGTGTTAGTTAAAATAGGCCAGTGAAATCGAAGTGTAGAACTCACAGCCAGTTTGGGATTTATGCCCTGCTTCAGGACAGTGTCCTGAGGTTGGTACTCACATTCTTGAATAACTGAAGGCAACTTTACACACATTTTATACAAACCCCCAAAATTCCCAAAGCCCACTGCAAGAGAACTGGTGCCAGTCAGCCTGAGAGAGAACCAGCATACAATTTATTTCTTAGTTAATACACATTTAATACATACACAAACATTTGCAACCTGTATTATGCATACTTTTGAATAACATCTTAAACAAAACTGTTAGGCAGTAAAACTATTGGTGTTCTTTGTACAGGCTTCCCCACTTTGTTGCTGTTACATACTTACAATTCAGTGCCAGGTTTTAACAGACAGTATATCTTTTTATACCCTTTTATACTTTGGCACGCACATACACAAACATTCACCACTAATCTTCTCTCAGAGATAATTTCTCAGGCTCTACGGTGTGGCCTTTTAATGTACATAGTTTGTCACTTGGATTCTGCAAAGCCTGAGGAGAATGGCCTCCTCTCCATTCCCCTCCAAACTCTTGGGACCATTGATTTTCTGAGGAGATTCTGAAGCTCCTTACAGCCAGCAGCAGTTCCAGTCTCTGAGCCAATAGCTGACTGTCTGAATTTCTAGTGAGAAGAGGAATCTATAGCCCATATCTAAGAGGTGCAAGTATTGCGATGCAGCCTTCACATCAGACACATCTCTTGGTTCTGCATCATTAGTTGCTGAATCCCCAGAGTTGCCTCCCATATTTATAATCTCTTTCCTTTGAGCTCCGTTTCTTGGCTCAGCTTTCCTATGGTAAATGTGTGGAACCTGCAACACAGCTGGTCCTTAATGGAAACTTTCTGTACAGCTTCCGAATCAGCTACTGAACATGTCTAGTAACTGCCTCTCCTCTAGGTGTCTCTGAGTCCTTCTACGTAAATTGCCCTGCCCTGTTCTCAGCACATGTGCAGAGACACAGCCTGGGGTTCAACTAAAATCCATGTCTCTCTTCCATGACTTCTCGCTAGGGTGACCGGATACCAAGTGTGAAAAATCGGGACGGGGGTAGGGGGTAATAGGTGACTGTATAAGCAAAAGCCCCAAATATTGGGACTGTCCATATAAAATCAGGACATCTGGTCACCCTACTTCTCGCCCATTCTTCATACTTAAAAAAAAAACAAAAAAAACTGAATGCTGCAGTATAGGCCTGTTTTCACAATAACTGTTGGTAAGTCTCAGTCATGCTTTCAGAAATGGTGTTGAAAATGCCCATGTCCTGACTACATTAGCATTTAAATACTTTCAATACTAGCTCAGAAGGGGACCTGCTGCACATTTTTCAGTGCTGACTCAATTTCCTAATACAGACCAGGCTTTAGTTTTAGCCCTTGAGCCACCCTAAGCAACTCTCCTCCCTCCTTGGTCTTCACAGATACTTCTAGGTAATTTATTAAGTTGCCTTTAACCTAGTGGCTCTCAACCTTTCCAGACTACTGTACCCCTTTCAGGAGTCTGATTTGTTTTGTGCACTCCCAAGTTTCACCTCACTTAAAATCTACTTGCTTATAAAATCAGACATAAAAATACAAAAGTGTCACAGCCACACTGTTACTGAAAAATTCTTTGCTTTTTCATTTTTACCATATAATTATAAAATCGATTGGAATATAAATCTTGTACTTACATTTCAGTGTAGAGTACATAGAGCAGTATAAAGTCATTGTCTGTGTGACATTTTAGTTTGTACTGACTTTGCTTGTGCTTTTTATGTAGCCTGTTGTAAAACTAGGCAAATATCTAGATGAGTTGATATACGCCTGGAAGACCTGTGCGTACTCCCCAGGGTACACGTACCCCTGGTTGAGAACCACTGCTTTAACCAGCCTACTCACGTTCCTTAATCCTCCCTCATAAATCAATCCCCCAGCTCGTTAAGCACTAGGGTTCCCACCCATCCGGTTTTCACCCAGACAGTCGAGGTTTCAGCTTGTGTGTCCAGGGGCCATTTGACAAGCCCTGATGGCTGGTTTTTGGGTCTTTGGCAACTCTAAGTGGAAGGAAGGAGGCAGCACAGCAACAATAGCTGCTGCTGCCTCCAGGGCCAGGGGGCTCATGGTGGCACAGGGCATGCAGGGGCTTCGGGAAGAGATGGTGAAGGGGTGGGGTCTTGGGGGAAGAGACAGGGCAGGGCCTTTGGGGGAAGAGGCAAGGCAGGGAGTGGCATCTCATTGGTCCGGTTACCGGCCCTTAGAAAGGTGACAACCTTATTAAGCACGTTCCCTGCCCGTTTCTGAATTGGCTGCTCTTACCAAGAGATTTCATTTACCTTGTTGTATAGCTTCATCTTGAAGTGGTGGAAGTAGTACCATTTGTGAGCTTCTCTGGAGGGGAGCGTGTGGTACTTCATGACAGCATCATAGCCAAACTTCATAAACTCACGCTTTTCATTGAAGAGGATGCACGTTGGGGTCTTCACAGTGTTGAGCCCGTGCTCATGTCCCCAGAACACCTGCCGGATTTGATCCGTGTGTTTCGCAAGAGAAAAGCAGTAGCCACTATAAGATGTGCCGAAATCAATGGCAACAATGAACAAGGACTTGCTTGCCATGCTCATGAACTTGAGAGAGGGAGAGACTTCTACACAGCTTGTTAGAACAGACTACTGAAAGTGAAACGGTTTTACAGTTAACTCTGCAGATGAAAACCTGCCCCTCCTTTTTAATTGGCTGGGTGATCACTGCAGACTCTGATGTGGGGGAGGGGGGAGAGCCAGGGCTCTCTGCATAAATTCTCCAAGGAGGGGACAGCCTCACTCTATTGAGGTTTTGAGCTACAATGGATCTTGAAGGCACCAACTCCATAGTTAGGGCTGCTTTCCCTACTTGTTTGTGCAAGCAAGAAAGTGCTTGATACTTGGAGCAGTTCCCCAGACAAGTCCTGTAGATCAGCTTCCACTCAACCCCTCTCTCTTCTGTTCCCTCCTGTTTGGAAGAGACATTTGCTATTTTAATAAAAGCATGGAGCAAAGCACTTTGCCTAAGCCTGGCAGAGCTTGGCCAAACACTTCACTAGATCTCAGAAGAGACCTGCAGATACGGACGAGTAGCGGGAACTCAGTGGGTAATCACAGCAGTTTAATAGCAGCTCTAAGTTTCTGTTTAAAAATAGTTGTGAAACTCTCATGCAGAGTTCTTCCTGTTGCCAGTGTTTGCAGCCAGAAACTGCATCTTTTTTTTTTTTTACTAATATTTGCAAATTTCAGTCCAGAATGACTAACGCTGTTATTTGCAACCAAAATGACAAGATACTGCACTTCCCTTACCCTCCCCCTGTATGAAATTTTAAAGTTCCTTGATTTTGCCCCTGTTGGAAAATTGCTGTTTTTGTTTCACTGCAAAATGATTGTTCCCGCACATACTGCGAGGGGAGAACAGGGTTTGCTTTTTCACTGACCACTGCTGAACTTGACCTTTTCTGCTCATTTGAGTTCACCCGCAGCACACACACACATGCACCCTGAATCATCCCATGGTCAGCTGTAAAAGCTTGGCCAGTATGTGTTTGTGCAGTAAGTGTTAACTATAGATGGAGCGAAGCTGCACAGTTCAGCTCCATAGCTGGACTTCCCTAAAATTTGGGGATATTTGGATCTGGAGTTTTGGGTCCGATCATTGTACAGATGGAGCAAGCTCAAGCTGCACAGTTTGGATCCTGTTTCAGTTTCAGAAGAGAGGTTTTCAACAGTAGTGATACCCAGTAAAGAGCCAGAGAACTGCTCCTTCTGCTAATATTAAACAGCAATTCATAAGCCAGTGGTGGTGTTGAAGCTACAGTCTCACTGAAGGGTATCATGGGTTTCATCTTTGTAGTTTATTTCATCATCTCCGACCCTAGAAGAGAATTATGGACTTGTGGTTACCACTGGCCCTTGGCTCCTGCATCCTTTATCTAAGGGGAAGGGGTGTCAGATCCTTCCTCAGTCATTAATTGAATTGAACATCTTGAACCTACACAACTCAGCTGGAAGTCTCTCCAGAACAATATTTATCATTTCTGGTCCTTGGAAGAACCAGGAAACACAGAAGCACCCATGAAACTGAAAAATATGTTTATAATGTTACAGCCTGCTTTCTTCTTTCTCCTTCTGTAACTGGGATGCTCCAAAATAAAAGTGTCTTTTAAAAAAAATGAAAGCTGGTTTAAGCAAAATAACTAGCTAGATTTTTTCCAACCTCTGAAATGGTTTTAGGTTCAGTTTGAGTTTTGTGTAGTGAGTTCTTATTTTATCTTGCCTAGTTCATCCTTCCCCAGTGATTATTACTATCATTTATCTTTCAGTCTTAGGGTTTTATACTGCCACCCATCATGGCTGTGCCTGAGCACCTTCCACATAAAATCAGTAGCAGTAGTGAAGTCTTGAGTGGATTTAATGGAGTCTCTGGCACATGACTCTCTTTGGGGTAAAAGCTCTGGTTGGGGTAGGATTTTTGTTTTGATTTTTTTAGTTTTTATTTATTTCCTTTTTTTCTTTGATATGGGTTTACTGGGTAGAAGAAGGTATCAGTATTGTTGCTGTTATGTTGGAAAAGCTTCTAATGAGTTATCTCTCCTCCCTAAAAGCTCTGTGCCCCACAGAGGTGAAATTGAGGCTCCACAGGGCAAGCTCACAAATTTGGATGGAACCGATATGGACCCATTGGTGAAATATGTGGAAGACAAATTTGAGTAAGTTTGGTGATCTGAAATTTTATTCCATTTTAGACCCCTACCCCTGAGACCAAACAGTTGTTCATTTTCCTAACGGATCCCTGAGGATTGCACCTTATTGTCTTTTGTCCTCCTTGCCTTTGATTCAGACACCAGCATCTTTTTTTGGCTAGAGGGACAATGTGGCCCTCCTTGTCTCCAGATGTCTGCCTTTGCACCATTCCTGAGTCCTAGAAAAAGAGAAGGAGAGAGTGACTAAGATCATCACAGGTCTCCCATATGGCAGGGCAGAGCAGTGGGCTCTAAGCCACCAGGCAAAGCAGATATGTTTTTAACCATATAAGTAAGGTGAAACAATATGATAACTCTATTTTCCTTTCCAAATAATTTTCTGAATAGGTAATACCCCCTTGCGCATCAGCAGGACAGAGGATAAAGTCACCCATCTTGATACAGAAAGGGCAGGTGGTAAACTTATATTTGGCAGAGACTGTGAGTGCAGCTGCCAGGGTAGCATACTCTGTTCCTGCAGCTAGAGGGAAGGGAGAAGCTTGCCTCTCTTAACAGTGACCTCTTAACAACTAATTAAGGGGTAGCAATGACAAGCTCTGAAAGGGAAGGGTGGCAGCTGGGATGCTGATGAGCATGGAAAGGGGTAAAGTGTGGGGGGAGACAAAAGAAGAAGTACCCTAAAGATGCAATTTACGTGGATAAACGCTAAAATGAATTCTCCTAAAAGATCAAGAATAGTGATGAGCAAATTTCAAACAGTTTGGTTCCAAAAGTAAAGTTATTTTTTTCAGCCTCATCTGAACTTCATATAACTGGGCTGGAAATTCGATAAGAACAGGCTTTAGTGTGAGATTTCCTGCAACTTCTGCTGCTGGTCATAATGGGATTACAAAGACAGCAGCCTGTATCCGTGGCATTTTGGAGCTTCCAATCCCAGCTAGACACAGGAATTACAGAGGCAGCCAGGATGGTGGGAGGGGGCAGAGGAGGGGGGATGACTGGAAATAGCTAATCAACCTTTTTCAAACCTGAAACGTTTTTCTTAGATTTTTTTTTTCAAACTCAAGACTTGGTTGATATAGGACAAAGTGATATAGGACTAGAAAGTGATCCATGATACAGAGATTAGAGCTAGATCCAAATTTTACCCCCAATGCAGGTCAGTTTGAATCCAGAGATTTTGTTCAACCAAGTACAATAGGCTAGCTGCAAAGGCCAGATCTAGATCTGGATCTGAACTTCTCCACAGTTCAGATTTCTGGGTTTTGATTTGTTCCCATCTGTGTTTCTTTTATCCAAATTGGTTTGTCCCATCTCTAGTCAGGAAGCAGCAAGCAGGATCAATTACAGGTAGTCCTCAGACTTATGATGTTCTACTTAAGTCGAATGGCACTTATGATGCTTCTAGATTGACTCCCTGATTCGACTTACGACTGTAGGTTTCGAGTTTACAATGCTCGGTCCCACAATGTAGTAGATTTGTGGTTCCGAGATACAATGTTCCGATTTATGATGCAATTGTAAGGAACCAATTGTGTCATAAATCTGAGGGCTGTCTGTACTGTGGTTCCAGATCACAGGAGGCCACCAACAAGAGTCAGAGCTTCACTCAGAGGTGAGTGTTGTGTATTTTTGTTGCTGTTGTGTTGCTATTCTTCACCTGGGGCCAGTAACCCTTCTGCCATCTGTACAGTACATCTGTCACCTTTGAACTTTTTGGGACTCTACAGACACAACATTTCTAGCAAAAAACATAAAGGTGTGTGAAGATAGTAGCCCATGCTTCGGTGCTGAGAGAAAAGGGGATTGTCAGGAGAGAGGGACAAGCAGTGTTGCTTCTCCTTCAAAAGACGTTTATTACCCAAGATTTTGACACACGGGACCTGAACCTGCTCTTATTAAAGTCAACAGGAGTTTTGATATTGACGTCAGTGGATGCTGGATCAGACCATAGTTTGCAATACACATGATCTTTCTCCTAAGTATATATATGTGGGCTAGCGAATCTCTGCACTATCTAAATGAATCCCGTCTAGTGCCTTTATGTATTCAACCTGTGGGATAAATAATCATGTCATGACATTGCATCATTGTATGACCACATTGCATCCTCCCACCACAATGCAACAACACTGCATTTGGCAGCAGCAACATCACAATGTTGCAAGACCATAAATACATCTGGGACAATAACTGTCCTGTGAGTTGGGCTTGCAGAATAGACCTGTGAGAAGCTGTGACTGTCTCATAACTTCTGGAATGGGTGGCTAACCCTCGTCTTGCATTGTGCATCTTTGCATGGTGGATGATATTTATTTTGTTCATGAATCTGTTTTAGGGAGCTTTCCAGACTGGTCAGTGCAGAACAAATTCATCAGAAGAAAGAAGAGTGTGAAAAGCTGAAGAAAGAGAAAAGACTCTTAGAGGAAAGGTAGGGTATTTGTAAATATTTCCTATAGAGCTTATCTTTCTACAAAGAGCCTGATCCTTCTCCCAACACTGTAACCCTTCTATGCCATCTCAGCAGCTGGAGTATCCCCTTCCCAGATCCTCAGCCTCCATGGGGCAGGTGTACTACTGACCACTGTGAGCTGGGTAATGTGATCCTAGGAAGGGAACTATGGCAGCTCTGTGTCTTTCCCAGTATCCAAGTGCAGATGAAAGAGGCAAGCTCTTAAGGAAAAGTCCAAGTGCTGTTTAGATCATGCAAGGTGCTACTTGTGGAATATTGCTGTGAAAGTGATATTTTTCCAGACAGAAGCTGGCACACCCAGATGCTTACTGGTCAGGGGAAAATCAGTTTGGGGTTGGGAAGTGCAGAGTGGAGGTTGTGTGCTTGTGAACTGCATGGCAATTCGTAACGTATTTCTGGGTTATTATTGATTGTCCCTTAATGAACTAAAGTCCCATTATTCTTTGTGTTTTTCCTTTGTATCTAGCTCTTTCCCTTTTAAAATGAACTTTTTTAAACCCCTCTTCTGGCCCTAGA